CATGGTGAGTGATCCCAACCTTGTTCCGCCAGCGGGGCAAGTTAGCGGGGAGTGGAAGGAGCCCGAGGCGGGACTCTTGTGGCGGCGTGGGCGGACGAGTTGAGGGCTGCAGCCCAGTCTGCTGTGGAGGGCGACAACAGGTCGCCGACCTCCGCTTAGGGCCTCGGGCTGGAACCCGGAGATGAGGGAGGGCCCAGGTTCCCCACACCCCTCCCTCTCCCCCGCCGCAACCCTCTTCTACCCCGCCAAATCGAGGAGAAGGAAAGGCTGACAAAGGGGCCACCGAGCCCCCTCAGTCCCTTGGGGGCTGAGGGGTGATCGCCCCCGCAACCAGACACTACTACTAAGACCCCGGGTGGGGCGGCCGAAGAGCTCAATCCAGACGGTGGGTTCGCTGGGTCCCGCCCCCCCCCCCGGACTGAGCGGGAGAAGGCTTTGCGTGCTCTTCTGTCCCCAAGCCAATCAGGGCGGGGCAGGGGCACCTAGGGAGAACCTGGTGGGGGAGGGGGCAAATGCGCTCCTCCACCCCAGAACAAATCAAGGTCTGTGGTGGGGAAGCCCGAAAGTATCCTGGCCCTGCCCCTTCCGCCTGAGGCCCCACCCTTCCGAAGCGGCCCAGGCAAAAAGAGAAGGCTTTGCGTGCTCTTCTGTCCCCAAGCCAATCAGGGCGGGGCAGGGGCACCTAGGGAGAACCTGGTGGGGGAGGGGGCAAATGCGCTCCTCCACCCCAGAACAAATCAAGGTCTGTGGTGGGGAAGCCCGAAAGTATCCTGGCCCTGCCCCTTCCGCCTGAGGCCCCACCCTTCCGAAGCGGCCCAGGCAAAAAATTATTGTCCATCTCTGGTACAGACATTACAGTTTTTTCACAACTAAACCAATGTTGCCAGGACAAATTCTCAACTGCAGCCTCGGCCTTCATTTTTACTGCGCTTTAAAAAAAAACAGTTCTTTTTCTTTGTTGAACATACAATTGGCTTGCAGTTTAAATATCTTTCTAATTACTTATCAAATCATTTCCTTTTCTTCCCATTCCATTGCCAATGCACACCCCTCTGTGCTGTACTAAGTAAGATTCCTCTTCAAAGGAATGAAGAAAAACATTCATTTTGCTGGGAGGTGACAATTTTCACTATGGAAAAACATAATCCCTTTCCCTATGAACTTCTGAGACTTGGACATATGCACTGGACCCAATTCTACATAATTTACACACTGTGAAGCAACTCCAATAGGTATAAGTCAGTACAGAATTTGTCCCAGCATTTCTAAGTTACTGATGTAATAAATTAGATCAACTTACTTGCTTATAATTTCAGGACCATTAATAACTGAAACATGGGCTCCCACTTCATTTGCAACGGCTCTGGCAATCATGGTCTTCCCAGTACCCGGTGGGCCATACAATAGCACTCCTCTGGGAGGAGGAATTCCTTTAAACACAGAGGAAAGCGTTATTTGTACTTAAGGCAGTTGTGAACAAGCCAAATCACGATGATCCACCATTCTACAACATACGTCTATATTACTGATTTCTATATTCTGCATGCTTCCATGAGAAATATAGACATATACTAATTTTACTTGAAATCTATTATATAAATTCTTGTTTCCCCCAATAATCTCAAATAATTCCGATTCAAAGCCTAGTGTTAATACAGGCAGTCCCCGGGTTACGTACAAGATAGGGACTGTAGGTTTGTTCTTAAGTTGAATTTGTATGTAAGTCGGAACTGGTACATATTGTAGGGGAAACTCTAGCCAAACATTTCTCCAGAGCTCAGTTTTATTCTCCCACACCTCACTTCCCTCAGGGTATTATTCTCAAACTGAGGTGTCTGCTGAGAAAAGCTGCTCCGCATCTCCCTGGTCTGCTGGGGG